GTTAATTTGGAGTTTAATAGCTGCAAAAAAAGCTTTGCATCTCAACATTTGGTGACCCCGACGTGATCGCCGTGCGTTTTTGGTGGAATTGTACTTTTCGATATTTGGGAGATTAAACTGTGTGCATAACGCTTTGTACATAATAATATACTCGTATACGCCTATAGCCGAAAATTTGAATCCGTTATTCAAGAGCACGGAACTTTGTGAAACTTGTAGCGTGATCTTGAAACAGTTAAACTGTTAGCTTACGTCTTCAGCATATTTTGTGAGCCGCTATTTCTGTTCATTTCCCACGCAACGGTTTCCAGTTGCGATTTTTCCCGAGTGTAGTACACATCACGCGCTGCCGATATAAATTCGACTTGAATCCATCATGACACTTAACCCAGCTAATGGTACTCCAGGTAGCGAAAATGCTGCTCAATCAAATGAACAGGTGGCCACAGATCGAGTTAGCTTTTTTAAGTTAAAAACAAAAGCAATATTCAACCGGCTTGAGCGAATAGCTGCCGAGATGGACAGTGATAAGCTGCACGGGATGGACGAATACGCTCTGACGGCACTACTGGACTCATTGGGGGAACTGAAGTCAAGTTTCAACGGTGCGCACACAAGCTTGGAGGAATTGGATTTCGATTCAATTTGCAGCGATCTGCCTGGTAAATTCGACTCCAATTTAGTTAACCTCAGATCCACTCTGCAGCGTGAAATTGGAAAGCGAAGTGCACCTCAGCTATGCTCCACATTCAGGGTTAACGCCAATGAGTCGCAATCAATTATAGTGAACACCAACCGATCACGCTTGCCGTTACTTACACTGCCAAAGTTCACTGGTGCCTATACTGAGTGGACAAACTTCTTCTCCATGTTCGTATCTGTCATCGACAAGGATAGCGACCTTACGCCGGTCGACAAGCTTCAACATCTACGTTCCTGCCTGAGTGGTGCAGCGCTGGATACCATACGTTCTCTAGAAAAAAATGAGGCTAATTATAAAAATGCATTAGATCTTTTGCATAAGCGTTTTGATAACAAGCGTCTTATATTTCAGGCACACATCAGGGAGATCTTCGGGCTGGGCAAAGCAGATGGGTCAGTAGGCAGGCTACGGGAACTAACTGACAAAGTCACCGCTCACATACGTGCACTGCAATCGATTGGGTCCAAGGAGCAAATATCCGACTGTATCATTGTACAACTACTAATACAGAAGTTAGACAAAGCGACTCAATCCAAATGGGAGGAGAATTCGCCGACAAACGAACTACCTTCGTGGGACCAGTTATCTACCTTTCTGGAGAAGCGCTGTAGAACGCTCGAAAACGTCGAACACGTTATGCAAACACCAGTTGGTCAAGCTGGTAAATCTGGTAAAAACGTGAGTACCAACCAAAGAAAATCATTTGTTGCTTCTGGTGGCTCAGTGGGCGGTTGCGTATTTTGTGGATCCCATGAGCATCTGATATACCATTGTCCTCGCTTTACAAATCTGTCGCCAAACCTCCGCCAAAAAGAGGTTAAACAACTCGCTCTATGTCTCAATTGTCTAAAAAAAGGTCATCAGATGCGCGACTGCAAATCGGGGTCTTGTCGTAACTGTCAATCAAAGCACCATACACTTTTGCACTTTGAGCGCTCTGCTCCAACTGCCACCAGCCCTCAAGGCTTAACTTTGAAATCCGCTACAGCCCAACCTAATGCCATGACTGCAGCCTTATCTGCCTCGTCCCAGGCCCTTACTTCTCCATCTGATGTTGTGCTTCTAGCCACTGCGGTAATTTTTGTAAAAAATCGTGCCGGCACTTTCGTACCTTGTCGTGCGCTGTTAGACTCTGGTTCACAGCTGCACTTTATCACCTCTCGTTTCACAAACCAGCTGCAGCTGCGCAAAACCAAAACCTTCGCTGGAGTATCTGGCATTGGCGACGTCAACTTTTCAACGGAGGGATACTCGGTCGATCTCGTACTGAAGTCGCGGACTTCTGATTTCTCGACGACGATTACTGCTGTTGTCGCACAAACGATCACTGAAAGTCAACCTGGCCTTACAGTGAGCACCGTTAATTGGCGACTTCCCTCCAACATCCAGCTGGCTGATCCCAACTTCAACATACCACAGCGTATTGATCTGCTTATAGGAGCAGGACTCTTCTTCGAACTTCTCTGTGTGGGCCAAATTCAGTTGGCGCCTGGGCTGCCATTGCTTCAAAAAACTCGGTTTGGTTGGGTGCTGTCCGGTGGTGGACAAGAAACGCCCAAACTCTCATCTTTCGTCGTACGTCAACGGTCATCTACTGACATTGATTGTAGTACTCGGCTAGATTATTTAGTGCGTCGTTTTTGGGAAATCGACCATGTAATTGAGCCAATCGCTAAAACAACAAAGGAAGAGCTCGACTGCGAAGAGCACTTTAGGCAAAATTATTCGCGTCTGTCTTCAGGCGAGTATTCCGTGCGTCTGCCGATGAAGAGTAGCGTGGAGTCACTAGGTGATTCGTATTTACAGGCACTACATCGCTTTCGCAGTCTTGAACGAAAACTGACTCGCAATCCACAGCTCAAGGAACAATATGTGGCATTCATTAACGAATATTTGGATCTCAACCACATGTCACTAGTCTCCAGTAAGGATGTTCATGACTGTAAGTTTTTCCTTCCACATCACTGTGTCATCAAGGATGACAGCACTACAACAAAGCTGAGAGTTGTATTTGATGGATCTGCAGCTACAACTTCGGGCTTGTCGCTGAACGATCTGCTCATGTCAGGTCCAACAATACAACCGAAGCTTTTCAACATCCTCATTAGATTTCGATCGTTTCCCGTCGCACTTACTGGAGACATCTGCAAAATGTATAGATGCGTTCGAGTCACTGCACCAGACGACATGCTCCAGTGTATACTATGGCGTGACTCTCCACAAGATGACCTACGCGTGTACAAGTTGAATACGGTGACCTATGGAACTAAGCCTGCATCATTTCTGGCTATTCGGGCCATGCATCAGCTCGCGTTTGATGAATCATCAGCATATCCCCTGGGTTCAAAGGTCGTTCTTCGAGACTTCTATGTGGATGATATGATATCTGGTGGCAATTCAGTGCGGGAAGTGCGAAACATTATGCAGCAAACAACAGGTCTTCTTTCTCTAGGTAATTTCCAATTACGGAAATGGTGCTCCAACAGCCCTGATGTTCTCGGCGATATTCCCCAAACAGAAAGAGAAAGCTTTCTCAAATTCGATGACGGCAGTGATATCACCAAGGCTCTGGGACTAGTCTGGGATCCGTTCAAAGACACTCTGTTGTTTTCGTTTTCGCCGATCAGATCTGGCAGAAATTCCAAACGCTCTGTATTAGCTACCATAGCTCGTTTTTACGATCCACTTGGCCTACTAGGCCCCACTCTGACAAGGGCGAAAATTCTTTTACAGCGAATGTGGAGGGATAAGCTCGCGTGGGATGAAAGCTTGCCCCATTCACTGGATACGGCCTGGTCTACGTTTTGTGAAGATTTCGTCAACATTCAACATTCGTCATTTCCGCGCTATGTATTACAGCCTGGAGCCGCGCTTGAAATTCATGCGTTTTGCGACGCTAGCCTTGAAGCATATGGCGCTTGTGTATATGCTCGCTCAACTAAGGATAACAACGTCCAATTACAGTTGCTATGTTCAAAGGCACGCGTTGCTCCACTGAAAACTCTGACTGTGCCCAAGTTGGAACTCAGCGCTGCCGCTCTGCTTGCGCAGTTAGTAGGTGAGATAGCCAAGATGAAGGTTTTTGACTGCCGCTTCTATTGTTGGTCAGATTCGTCGATCGTTCTATCATGGCTGCAGGAAGAATCTTCAAAATTTAACGTTTTCGTCGCTAATCGAATATGTGCTATACAGGAGCTTACACAGGGGATGACTTGGCACTATGTTCCTACAGCCATGAACCCAGCAGACATCCTATCCAAAGGGGCCGCACCAAGAGAGCTCTTGCAATCAGCTCTTGGATGCACGGTCCAATATTCTTGCACAAAGCAGAAATCAGCTGGCCTGAATTTCGCGAACCACAAACCAAGCTTTTGGAAACTCGTCAAAAGGTATTACTCACATCAAATGATCGACCCGACGTATCTCTTTCATTTAAGTACATCAACTCGTTTGGCAAAATGCAGCGTATTTTTGGTTACGTAAGCAAATTTATCAATATAAAAAAATTGCCAAGGACGTCGCAGCTCACGTCTCGGGACATTCATCATGGGGTTCAGTTGTTAATTCGCATCGTTCAGAGAGCGCAGCTTTGGTCAGATTACGTCGCTCTGAAAAATAAGAGGTGTGTCTCATCATCTAGCAGCATCTCTTCATTATCACCATTTTTAGATGACATCGGTCTGATTCGAGTTGATGGTCGCCTGAGGCATTCAACTCTTGGCTTTGAAGCGCGTCACCCGTGTATTCTACCAAAGAATCATCCGCTGACGTTCTCCATAATTGCACATTTTCATCACAAGCATCATCATGTAGGGCCGCAGTCACTACTTGCAGCCATTCGCTTGCAATACTGGCCCATAGGTGGCAGAAAAACTGTCGCCCACGCCCTCGGTAAATGCATTATATGTTGTAAATCGAGACCGCGACTCGTCGAGCACATCATGGCTGACTTGCCTAAGGATCGCATTGCGGCCTCACGCGCCTTTATTGTCACTGGTGTAGACTATTGTGGGCCGTTCTATTATAAGCCAGAAATGCGTAACAAGTCCCCTCAAAAATGTTACGTTAGCGTTTTTATCTGCTTCGCAACAAAAGCCGTCTGGATGGAGTTAGTGAAAGACTTATCGACCAGCGCCTTTATCGACGCTCTAAAGAGATTTGTTGCTACTCGTGGCGTACCCAGCTGCATTTGGTCAGATAATGCAACAAACTTCGTAGGCGCAAGAAACGAGTTGAGTGATTTGCGACGCCTATTTTTAAGCGAGGAGCATCGCAGCGAGGTCCATAACCACTGTCTCAACAATGGGTTTGATTGGCGATTCATCCCGCCCCGCTCGCCGCACTTCGGCGGCTTGTGGGAAGCAGCCGTAAAAACAGCTAAGCAGCACTTTTATCGTTCGGTTGGCTCTTCACTTCTTGGCTTTGACGAATTGCGCACTCTGGTATGTCAAATCGCTGCTGTTATTAATTCTCGTCCTCTTGTACCACTTTCAGAAAATTCAGAGGATTTAGACGTATTGACGCCAGGGCATTTCGTGATTGGTGGTCCCCTAATAGCTCTACCTGAACCTGACCTGAGACATTTAAATTGTAATCGTCTTGACCGATGGCAGCGCGCAACTCACGTGCACCAAATTTTCTGGAATCGGTGGAGTCGAGAATATCTCACTCTCCTCCAGCAACGAGCGAAGTGGCGCACACCTCAGGCCAGCATTCAAGTGAACGATATCGTATGCGTCAAGGACGAAAACTCACCGCCTCTGAAGTGGCCCCTGGCCCGTGTAATCGAGGTTATCCCTGGAGCTGATGGTGTAGTACGAGTGGCAGTTTTTACGCACGTCTAGTGGAACAACCCGTCGAGCAGTGAACAAGCTGTGCGTCCTTCCAGTAAACGATACTGTTGAAAGCCCTGACCTTTCAACGCGGGGAGTATGTTCGGAGCAGCAGCCGATAATGCAATCAACATAAATCATGAGCCTCACATCGCAATATAAAGCGTTACATTTAAGCTTCAAATATTTTTATCATTTTGTTTAAACTTCTAAACATTTTGTACCACCCTAGCATAAATATTCCCAGTCCGTTATTGAACATATGTACATTAATATTGTAAAACCACTCACTTTATATTCCAATTGCAAAACATATGAGCATATACATGGAGGAGGGTAATTACTTGGGCTCATACATACTATTATACTGGACGAATGCAGGCGAACGGGATATGATGTGTACATAGTATGTACAACTGCTGTCGCTCTTAAGGCGGGCGTACAAGCATGTACACATATCCATAAAAAACGGTCCATATGTATATCAAATAATGAGAGCATGTAAAAAAAGAACAAGTTTAACTATGTATTACTTTTTATCGCTCGAGGCTCTCATCTGCATAAAATTAAATATCACCGTTGTAAACTCCGTAATTCCCCTTTATGCTCAC